GCGAAGAAGTGATGATTAATTAGTATGTAGTATGGATGCGTAAGATGCCAATTGGGACCATTTGGCAGATATTGCGGTGTTTCTTTGCTATTTTCAATCTCTAGATGTGATCACCTAATTCTTTGCGATGAGTTTCCAATTGTTTGTAATTTCGCTGTAAGTACGTAAATAGGTACCTACAGTCTATGAAGGTTGACTAATGGATGTATTAGTGAATTGTCGGTTTTACAGGGCGTATACTACGATTGTTACCTCGGGCTTGAAGGATGTAGCTGCTGTTACTGGTTTTATATCGAATCTTTGAAGGTTTATTTACATGGTATTTCACTCTCACAGGCCAGGCCTCACAGGCATACATGTAATTACCTAGGTACGGAATACGTAACTGAATGAGATATGAGCGATATCCATGATGCTAAGCTTTCTATTCAGCCTTTCCTACCAATGTAAACCCCTGCTGCAGTTTCCGGAGATCGGTAGTATACTCCGATCCCTGCCGTCTGCCGGTCTGTGCAATGTAAAGCGAAAGATTTGACAGTTGTTGGCATAGACTGTGGCAGGTGGCACATGCGCGTGTTGTTCTTGAGACAAGGTACAACAGGCTGAGCTTACCTAATGGCAGAGCGGCATGCGGCAGTGGGGCCACTGGAGAGACCCTGAACAGCACTTGCCATCACCAGTTGAGTCCGGCGCGAAGGAAAGAGAAGCTTAGAGATGTGGATGTGGCTGCAGCCAATTCTTGCTCAGCGCCAACGCCTCGCAGCGCCTCGCAGCGCCTCGCAACCTACGCCTCGTCTCATCCCGTACCTGTCAATCACTGACCAGGCCTCCTCCCACTCTCCATTCACCACTCCCCCATTCCCACCCTTTCTCTTCTCTTTGGGTCTGTATCTATATCCGTGTATGACACGGTCTTTTTTTTAATCGTGTACAATAATTACCGCCACAAGCACCTGGTCCGAGGTAGGCCCCATGTCCAGGCCCCAGGTCCCGTGCATTCCGTTCGCAGCATCCCCATCCTCCCCGTCGTCCGCCGCCGCACCCACTCAATTGAGGTCCACGATACCGTCATCGGAACGAGCCGAAGCGTACCGTGGCCGCTCCGGCTGGCCCTGCAGGGCTACCCCAGACTGCCACTGTCACTCTGAGATAGAGTAGAGCTATTGCTGCATCTGTCTTTCTGCGAATCCCGTTATGGCGTTGCAAACGCCCGCTCTCGCAAGCGTGGCCGCCACCGTGTCGGAGCTGTGGCCCTCCCTTGCGAACACCCTCGCCATTCCCTTCCGTGCGCCATCCCCGTACAGCCCACACAACTCGCGACACACTTCCTCTCATGCGGATGCCCGTAAGCAGTCCACGGCCACCGTGCCGAGAACCACAACGCCTGCTCGCTCCGTCGCTGCCGTCGGTCTGTCCAGGACAGAGCTGCCCGAGTTCCTGCGAGACTCTCGTCACGCCACCGCTTTCGCACCCGCTCTGCTCTCGCCACAGGCCATCCCGACGCCCTTCGATATACGTACCTCCATCGCTACCATGCCACGCGCTGCCTTGATGGCCTCGAACCCTGTCGCCCACCGTCTGTCCCCCCGCAATCTGTTCTCCCGGTCCATGTCCACGTCCACCCCGCCTGCTGCTGCCAACCTGCGTCGATTCCCGAGCGCATTTGTCCGACTGTCTTCCCCTCTGCAACGACGATCCTTTCAGTCCGGCGGTTTGTCCCGGAATCTTCTCGGTCATGTCGAAGAAGCTGCCAACAGGAACCCGACCAGTGCCACTGCTCAGAATGCCTTCTACCAGGCTCTGCTGAGGGCTAACATGCCTGCCATCATCGTCGAGCGTTACCAGTCTGGACGCTTTGCCTCGAACCCCGCTGCCACCGATGCTTACCACAAGGCCATCAACCTCTTAGCACCCAGCATTGGTCAGGGAGCCGACGCCGAAGCCATCAACGAGTCGGTTAAGAATCTTCCCGGAACTCTGTCACCAACTCAACTCCAAGCTGTCTCGCAGGCTCTCGCTGCTCATTCCCGTGGGGGCTCCCTGGCCATCGCCAAGAACGGTGATCATGCTCCCGGCACCAAGTCTGGCCCGCTGCATGTGATTGTTGATGACACCACCAGTAATATTGTCTTTAAATGGGTCAAGTTCATACTCTCCTTTGCACTCATCACCTACATCTCGCTCGTTATTATCACCATGGCCATTGAGTCTATGAGCACCTTCAAGCGGCCCGGTGGTAAGGTCGACAGCGAGGTCAAGGCCGAGCAGCAGAAGGCTCGTTTCACCGACGTCCATGGTGCCGACGAGGCCAAGGAAGAGCTGCAGGACATGGTCGAGTTTTTGCGCAACCCCGAACGATTCTCCCAACTGGGCGGCAAGCTGCCCAAGGGTATCCTCTTAGTCGGTCCTCCCGGTACAGGAAAGACGCTTCTCGCCCGAGCCGTCGCTGGTGAGGCAGGCGTCCCGTTCTTCTACATGTCTGGTAGTGAGTTCGACGAAGTCTACGTTGGTGTTGGTGCCAAGCGCGTCAGAGAACTGTTCGCTGCTGCCAAGTCTAAGTCTCCCGCTATTGTTTTCATCGATGAACTTGACGCCATAGGAGGTCGCCGCAATGCACGAGATGCCGCGTACGTTAAGCAGACGCTGAATCAGTTGCTCACTGAATTGGATGGTTTCGATCAAAGTGCCAATGTCATCATCATTGGTGCTACCAACTTTCCTGAGCTACTCGACAAGGCCCTTACCCGTCCCGGTCGTTTTGATCGCCATGTCACCGTTGACCTGCCCGACGTTCGCGGCCGTCTCGCTATCCTCCAACACCATGCCAAGAAGATCAAGGCTGAGAAGGACGTTGATCTCAAGGCCATCGCGCAAACTACTTCCGGCTTATCTGGTGCCGAGCTTGAGAACATTGTCAACCAAGCTGCTGTCCACGCTAGTAAAAATAAGGCCAAATTGGTTGGCCGGGGCGATTTCGATTGGGCCAAGGACAAGGTAGTCATGGGTGCCGAGCGGAAGAGCATGGTCATCAGTGCCAAGGAGAAGGAAATGACGGCTTACCACGAGGCTGGCCATGCCCTCGTCAACCTGTTGACCAAGGGAGCTAGTTCGACGCTGTACAAGGTGACTGTCTTGCCTCGTGGCCCCTCGCTTGGTCACACTGCCCAACTGCCCGAGATGGACAAGTACTCCTACACCGTCGATAACTATCTCGCTCAAATTGATGTTTCTCTGGGAGGCAAACTCGCCGAGGAGATTGTCTACGGCCCGAACAATGTCACTAGTGGCGCGTCATCGGTACGTTTTCTTCTCTTGTGCCATTCAACTGCCGTAAAGGCGATGCTAACTTTATTATCCAGGATCTTCAAAATGCCACCCGGGTGGCCTTCAGCATGGTGGCCTCTCTTGGTATGTCCTCGATACTCGGAAACATGGAATACGGCAGCCGCTACGATACTCTCAGCAGCGAGACGAAAGCTTTGGTGGAAGCCGAAGTCCGCCGCACCGTGAACGAAGCCTACGAGCGCGCACGGAAGCTGCTGACGGAACATCGCAAGGAGCTTGACTTATTGGCCAAGGCACTGGTCGACTACGAGACTCTGAACAAGGAGGAGGTTGAGAAGGTCATCAAGGGCCTCCCGCTGCCGGACCGGATCATCGTGCCAAAGGGACCCATGACTGTGCCCTCGACTATCAAGGCTACGCCGCCGGGAGAGACTCCCGATCCGGTGCCTGGGTCTTCCGAGTCGCCTCCGCCGCCGCCGCCGCCGCCTGTTGCTGCGCCGTCGGTTAAGTAGATTAAGTAGGGGGGGCGTAGATGGGAGGTTTGTTCCCGGTGAATTGAAATAAAATTAAGCGAAACAAAACAAAACACAACACAACAATTTATCAATTTATTATCTATTTATAACCAAACCAAACCAAACCTCTACTCTTGAGAAGAAGCATGGGGAGAAAGTGTGTTAGAGCATAGCAAATCAAAGCCAATCAATTGAAATGAAATGAGACCTGTGATGTGTCGGGAGGGGTCGCTTGTTGTTGGTGGTGGTGGGTGGTGTGGTGTTGTTGGGATTAGGGTTGTTGTGGTTGTTATAGCTTAGGTAAAATGAATATCATGTCAAGGTAAGCGCGAAGAAGAAGGGGAAGAAGAAGACGTGGAAGGGAATCAAAAAAGAAGTTTTTTATTGTTAAATTAGTATTGATGTTGATGTCGATAGTGAGGGTGAGGGTGTGGGTGAGGGTGTGGGTGAGGGTGAGGGTGAGGGTGGTAGGAGGTGATCGAAGGCAATTGGAGGTAACGCAAGCCGCTAGGAGGCAGGCATCGCGATTAAATACGATTATGAGCATCTCATAAAACTGGCTTATTTAACTTCACTATTGATGCTATTGCCATTACAGGTTGTTGCTAATGTTGATGCTGAACTACCAACACCTGTAAGTAACTTTGTGATAGGTGACTCTTGTACAACTAGGTAATTACTGCTTGCTCCCTATTGACTTTTCCAACAGTTTCCTCCCAACTATTGATTCGTGTTCCTGCTGCTTTCTCAATAAGGACAAGGGAACAGGTGATGGTGATGGTGATAGGCGGCTGCCGAAACAGCTAAGTAGTCAGCATATGCTGGCAGCACCCCCAAATTGCAGGAAACTTCTGATTAAAGCATCAACTACCGCGGCCCGTCGAAAGACGAGGTGCAGCACCTGGTCAACCAACGGCCTCGGAGATTGTAAAAACGTTGGCGATGTAAGTGCCGAGGTATTGCGTTAAGTTGATAGATAAGTGGCTGGTGCTAACTATTTTCTTGTAATTCTTTAAGTTAAGTTATTGAGGGAGGAAAAGTAAAGGATGGTAAGCAAGCAATTAGTGATTGTGAGGTAGTGATAATTCTTAAGTAAGTGAGTAAGCTGGCTATATAGTATGGTGTTTTTCTTTCCAACAGATGTATGGATGGGCGTGGGTGGCATGTCTGACACAAAAGACAAAAAAGGGCAAAAGTTTGGGCCCAGCGCAAGACTCGAACTTGCAACCATTCGGTGAATTCCTATAAATCAAAGTGAACGCTCTTCCAATTGAGCTAGCCGGACCTTGTTCGTGATGAATTTCCCCATAGGATAACGCCCTCACATATAAAGTATGCTATATTCCCTAGCTAGGGTTATTAACCCTTAATACCTAGCATAAACCTATAAATATGTCTTTTGTTATCCTTTGCTTTCTAGTGACTCAAGTTCTAAGACGCGGTTGTTGGATCTTTAATATAGTATTTAGGTCTTAGGAATAGGGGTGTTAACAAGGTTGTGTCATGACTCTGGAGGCAACTCTAAAATTACAGAAGTCGAGCACAGGTTGGTAACTAATATTTGGCGACGTTAGAATCTAGATTGATAGTCTCCTATTCTATTGAATTGACCCGTTGCGATTGACCGATGTTGCGTGCGCGAAAGTCCGCGCTCAAGTTGTAGACTTAGAAATATTAGATCATTGAGAATCCAGCGCATTCGCTAGTAGTCGTTGACCATGACAGTTAGACCTTTGCAGACATCGGTCGTCTTCCAGCCGCTGTGCTATGTATTAGCAGTTTGAAGCCCGTTGAGTGGCTTGATTCTTACATTCTGGAAGTCGCAAACTGGGTGTTACTGATACACATGATTTCGCACTGGGGGCATAATTATGGCACAGCCTTGATGAGATGGTTACTTGCCACTCAAGTCGAAAGCAAACTTGGTCAAGGGAACAGAGTTAGGCAGAATTATGTGTTACGTGTCGCATGGTAACCCAATTGGTTTGCTGATCTAGGTCACACCATGTGTAAAAGATGTGTAACAGAAGTAAGCACGAGCTCCCTTAGCAAATATCAGCCACCTATAAATCACCATCCTTGGCCACATCTATTGCCATTCTCTTTTTCACAGACTCATCCAACCTTCTAGTACCCACCAGCATCACTCTTCACTACTACCCAACCAACTTCATCCACCATGTCCTCAAACTCTCACCAGAGCTGGTTTCATTCTCTTTTTTAGAGACTCACCCAACCTTCTGATACCCACCGCCGTCTCTCTTCAACTACCACCCAACCAACTTCACCCAACATGCCCTTAATAACATTCTCCTCAAACGCCAACCAGCGCAAAAGGGCCCTCATCATGATAGAAAACCCCCCAGAGAACACCCACCAACGCGACAAGAAAGGTCAAGATGCGCAAGACCGCGCAGCAATTGCCTCAAAAACCATACGCGTGATGCTGGAAGGAATAGCCGGGGTCCTCGCAGAAGCTGATTTCGTAGAGCCTATAATACTCTATGATAACAAGAAGGTGCATATCGCGACACGTAAGGAAGTGTCTTCCGAGATCAGAGATAAGATCAAGGAGGTCATGGACAAGGAGCTACGCGATAGCCCGTGCAAGGAAATGCCTGTTCAATACCACTTGGGTGGGGGACAATGGTTCTGAACCCGGTTGATAAGCACTGTGGACGGATAACGTGGAGCGTGTGAACTTGCGGAGGAAAGTTTGAATCAAATCATCGATCCTGTATTTCTTTCCCTCCATACTGTCCTTCTTCTTACTCATATGGGGTATCGACCTCATGAGATATCTCTACAAGCCTAGGCAAACGAATAGCAATACTATCTGTCAACACACCTTGTCAATGATTCTCCCTTCGTCTCTTGCTCCCTCTGGTCTGCGTAACTTCCTCCATAACTGACTATCGCCGCAAGAGCCGCGGGATCAGGTAGTTTCAACGACGGTGCGACTGTCCGTTACGGGAATAGTTAGACCTGATTCCCTGAGACTGTCATCTCAAGTTTCACGAGGGATCTCGCCCGACCTGATCACGTGTGCCTAGGTATCTTTAGCCACGATGTCCACCAAGCATTGTCTTTGAAGGTATCGCGTCATAAAATGATGTCAAAGGCGTTGTTGTTTAGTTCTCGCGCTCTTGGTGTTCAATCTAGCCGTATATACTACATGTTAGGTCGAACGTGAGCCACTTATACATGGACCATTGACTGTGCCATGAAATTTCCTTGGCGACAACCCATTCACAACGATCATCGTAGCGACAGAAGATAATTGTTGAATTGAAAACTACCCTCTTAGCCTTCACATAGAACCCTTGCCACAAAACGCCCCTTTTCACGAAGTCACTAACAACCATCTTGATCTTAGTTGGATCGCCTGCATCATTCCCCCAAACAGTCGTGTAGCATACTACAACAATAGATGAAATACTCGTAACTTGATTCTCGTGTTGAAAGGAATGTCCGGGACATTGAGGCCGCTGAATCCATCAACGCTAGCCCACCACGACATAAGCTAGGAAAAGTTCGGAAGAAACCTAGTCCAAAGAGTATTCTCGTAGATCCCTTTTGGTGCAGACCTAAGGCAAGTGAATAGGAGAACAAGGATGATGATTCAGGCAATGATATAGATGATTCCCGTGCCAATAATAAGATATCTGGAGACTTGATAATAATAGTATTTCTGATTTCCGGAGTTCTTTAGTTCTTCTTGCATGTGCCTCCCTATCTCGAAACAATAACGGATGCACGTGGGGTGGGGAATCGTATATTCAGGTTGGTGATGTATCTGCTTTTGTGTCGTTTCGTAATCATCCCAGAAGTTTAAGGAGTTCTCCGAGAGGACTGGAAACATAAAAGTCGAAATGTTGACTGGAAACCTAAGAGTTGAAATGATTCTCTCTATCAGATCCTGTTCGAGTGGTGTTTCTCTAAGCCTCTGTATTGTTCTGCTAATAAATCTGATGTATCCTGGGACTTTGCGGAAATTGGAGTCCCTGTTGTCCTCAAAAATATTCGTTTCCGGTTCAACATCAGCCATAGGCGGTCTTGCACTAAAGTCGCGTTGTTCACGACTAGAGCAGAACAATCTGTTTTGATCATTCGAACTCCAAGAAAAGAAAGTAGGACACTTTAGCGATTCCCAGAAAGGGCCTTGGAGGGCCTCTAAAGGTTTCAAGTTTTCCGAAAGCCAATGTAGGAATCGCTTGTCTATAGTATTCATTCGATAGCTGAAATAAAGGTTGAGCCCGAGCGGAACCAAAGGAAGTACCGAAGATATAAGACTGCTAACTCTCCATAGAATAAGTTCAGGGTACGATGGGAATTCGAAGTTCCACGCGATAAGATGGATGCCGCCGAAGATAAAAGAAGAGCATGCCATTAGAGTATAAATAAATGGTGTTTTGCCCTCCATCCAAACAGTATCGTTTGGGATAGGTATTTGACAGTTATTAAGATCTAGTAGAACACTTTTTGCCTCGGATAAATTTGTAAGACGTAATCCGAGCCGCTGGGTTATATTGCTAGTCCTAGCTTCCTGTCTTCCAAAGCCTACTTGATGTATTCGTATTGGTTTCGAAACGTCTTTTGGTTTCCACCAGCAGGCTGTATATGTAGCGGCTGCAAAGAGGGAGAATGCTGAAGTGGCAATCTCTAGTTGAGAAACTGGGAGGCCGCTTGCGCTACGAGCAATAGCTGTAACAATGACCCATGAAGCTTGTAACACTGTTAGGGATCTAAGGAGCAAATCTGCCTTCCTTTTATCCTCTATATCTTTTTTATCAAGAATGAAACCAAGGAGTGGATGTTCGTCCCACGTATAACGACTGCCAAGCATGACGCCTGTGAGGGGTTGGTACCATTCATAACGAGCTTGATATACAACGCCGCCCATATTTGCAAGATGTGCATGCGTTATTGTCCAATTCTGGTGGTAATCTGTATCCCATATAGGATCTTGAAGTGGCGAACTGTTTGAAGGTGGATTGTTGTCCTCTTCTTCGGTGCCTCCATTACCTGGATGCCTCATTTCAATTGCGCCAATGTGATCATGCTCTGCTCTGGATTTGGGGATCATATTGCCCGATTCGTTTGCACGGTCTTCATTGGAGCTGGTCGGATCAAGAAGTAGTCCAAGTCCGAGAATCCGATAAAGGAATTTCGCTCCAGGGGGATATTCCACCTTCCATCTAAAGATACGTTTGTATAGCCCTTTACCCTCGATCGACATCAATTTGCTCTTGTCACTCCCTCGAGCTTGTTTATCGAACTCCCGCAGATCATACAGAGCTAGTCGCAGGTCGCAGATAGCCTTCGAGAAGATGAACTCGGGGAACAATATGGTTATAGCCATCCATTTTGCTTTTCGGATGGCTATTTCCCATGGTCCATCCTTCAGACCTGGAACGTTGAGGTGCAGAACCGTCCATGTACATGCAAAGATAGTAATCAGACAGCTATAAACGAGGGTAAGGGTACCGCGTTCTGTTGGGCCGGACTGCCATCCTACTGTCGAGTTCTGAGTATCGGACACAGCGACCATGACACATCCAATATGACGAATACTGTGATATGGGGAGAGAAAAGACTTGAATTGTGAAAATTAATATGTAAAGTTGTGTTGTGCGCCGACTGCGATATGATTGATCGCAGCTACGTTGCCTGATTCAGAGGATCGTCTTCGCTGGTCTGGCAGCATCTGATGAGATGGTAGCCGACAACCAGCTCATGAGTGTGGATTTGGAGCGGGATATTAAGGGAAACCAGTAGGTGAGAGCACGTCAGGTACCCAGGGTCCTCGCCACCCTCACCGCCTGGTGTTTGGAAATGCTATGGTAGCATCGGATGTGTGTTGTCAAGGCATATCGGAGCCTTAGGCAGATTCGACACCTAAGGAGCGCCATGTCCTTGGCATTAGGTGTGGTATTGCATTGATCATAAAGCTTCGGCGCCCAGAGCCTGCATGAGCCTCTAAAGGGTGGGCACAGTCTGATGCACAGTCAATGTTCCCAGACACCCTGTAGCAGTCTACAGTCATGGCATCTCCCTATTGCCTGGGTAATATCATAGAGCGCGACCTCAAAGTCAAAATACCACAGCGTCTTGGCCAGATTTTCCCGCACGGGAGTGTGATCCTGTAGAGAAGGCTGCAAATGCATCATGTGCCAATCTCTTGCTTGATGTGGTACAGCGCATAGTTACAATCTGACCCCAAAAAGTGCACCTTTCGGAATGGCCATCGATAATTAGAGGCTGGCTATCACCTGGGGGCTAAGT